TTTTTTTTGCTGTTTTTGGCCAGAGTGGGTTTGAACCCACCACCTCTGGTATATGGGGCTGGTGCCCTACTCCCTTGAGCCACAGGCACCACCCAAGATGGACTATTTAACTCCTAGTTTCTTATCCAGGAAGCAGGAACAATAATGTGAATGACATTATCTTGTCATATATGTCAGGCTCGGCAGGTTAGGCACACAAGGTGCTTACCTCCCAGTTCAGCACAGAGTACACACTTGTTAAATGTCAGATGCTTTTATTGTTCAAGTTGTGTTGTTAATATAAAAATGAGATTCAAAAAATTAAAATAATCTGTCCCAGGCCCAGTCCAGTGGCTCATACCTATAATCCTTGCACTCTAGGAGGCTGAGGCAAGAGGATCCCTTGAGCTCAGGAGTTAAAGACCAGCCTGAGCAAGACAAGACCCTGTCTTTACCAAAAATTGAAAAATTGGCTCAGCGCCTATGGCTCAAGTGGCTAAGGTGCCAGCCATATACACCTGAGTTGGTGGGTTTAAATCCAGCCCAGGCCCTCCAAACAACAATGACAGCTGCAACCAAAAAATAGCCGGGGGTTGTGGCAGGCACCTGTAGTCCCAGCTACTTGGGAGGCAGAGGCAGGAGAATCACCTGAGCCCAGAAGTTTGAGGTTGCTATGAGCTGTGATGCCATGGCACTCTACCCAGAGCGATAGCTTGAGGCTCTGTCTCAAAAAGAAAAAAAAAAGAAAAAAAGAATTAGCCAGGTGTTGTGGCAGGCACTGGTAGTCCCAGCTACAGTGGTGGCTGAGGCAGGGGGATCACTTGAACCCAGGAGTTTGAGGTTGCTATGAGCTAGACTAAAGCTGTGGAACTTTAGCCTCAGCAACAGAGTAAGATTCTGTCTCAGAAAAATAATAATAAATAATCTGTCCCAAGAGAATTGAATTGATACAGTTGTATGTTCTTGGTGAATTGTGAGCAATGCCCTTTTCTTATAGATTTGGGTGAATAGTCCCCACACAGCCAGTGGCTACTACACCATCTATGACAGTGAGACTCTTCAAGCTGATCACTTCAATACTCGCCTCAGCTTTGGGGATGCCGCTCAGACACTCTGGGCTCGGACAGGATACCTGGGTTTTGTGCGCCGGACTGAGCTCACTGCAGCCACTGGAGGTATCTCCTGCTACAACTCCCCCCCTTCTGTCCTACTTCACATTTCTGTGGCACTGACTGGCCTCCTTCAGCCTGCCTTTGGATTGTGGTGTGTGTGTGTGTGTGTTCAGTTACCCCCTTCTCTGACTGTTGGACCCAGAAGTGACCTTACATTCATTTGAAGTAATACTGCCTTACGAAGAACATCTAGGAGGTGATCACTGAGGACCACCACGTTGGTGTCCCTGAACTGCAGGGCAGGAGGGCAGAGCAGCCGTGGAGATGTGCCTGATAACGTATGAACACCCTGGCAGATCACAGACTCTCAGCCCCTGTGACCTGATTCTAAACCTAAACAAGCTTCTGGGGCAGTATTACATCTTTTAGCTCTTCTAGCTCTTTGGCCAAACTTTTTGGGGAGCAGGAAGAACAGCCTCAGTCCCTGTGAGGGCTGTCAGTCCTGAGCAGCCATCTTGCTGAAGTACTCCAGCCCCTTGGTGTCTTGAGTTGCCTATAAGCCTGCTTTGTGGTGAGACGCTGGTGTGTAACTTCCCTCCAATCCCCTTTTGCCCAGGTGTTTGTCACAGCTTTACTGCTGTTCCCGTCACCCTTTTCTTCCTTATTGTCATTGATAGCCATTTAAAAACACTCAACATTGGCTAGGTATGGTGGTTTATGCCTATAATTCTATCACTCTGGGAGGTAAAGACGGGTGGATCCCTTGAGTTTAAGAGTTCAAGACCAGCCTAAGCAAGAGCGAGACTCCATGTCTACTAAAAAAAAAAATTAGCTGGGCATCATGGCAGGCATTACTTCAAAAGAGTGTAAGTTCAGGATATGAGTCCCAGCTACTCGGGAAGCTTGAGGTATGAGGATTGCTCAAGAGTTTGAGGTTGCTGTGAGCTATGATGATGCCACAGCACTCAACTCCAGGGTTACAAGAGTGAGACTTTGGCTCGGCGCCTGTAGCTTAAGTGGCTAGGGCGGCAGGAACATACACCAGAGCTGGCGAGTTTGAATCCAGCTGAGGCCCACCAAACAACAATGACAACTGCAACCAAAAAATAGCAGGGCACTGTGGCGGGTGCCTGTAGTCCCAGCTACTTGGGAGGCTGAAGCAAGAGAATCACTTAAGCCCAAGAGTTGGAGGTTGTTGTGAGCTGTGACGCCACGGCACTCTACCCAGAGCAACAGCTTGAGGCTTTGTCTAAAAAAAAAAAAAATAATAATAATAATAATACATATATACAACATAATATAAAATAAAAAAGCTAAAAAAAAAAAAATGGGCAGTGCCTGTGGCTCAAAGGAGTAGGGCGCCGGCCCCATATACTGGAGGTGGTGGGTTCAAACCTGGCCCTGGCCAAAAACTGCAAAAAAAAAAAAAAAAAAGAGTAAGACTTTGTGTCAAAAAATAATAAGAGGGTGGCGCCTGTGTCTCAAAGGAGTAGGGTGCTGGCCCCATATGCCAGAGGTGGCAGGTTCAAACCCAGCCCCAGCCAAAAACTGCAAAAAAAAAAAATGATAATAATAATAAAAACACTCTACATTAACTATGTGCACTTGAAGAACTGATACAAGTAACTCCTTGGGCTTTAAAGGCTTAAACTGGACCGTGCTGTTTATCTTTAGCTCCATGCACCTCTTCCATACTGTGTCCGTAGTCTCCCTATATTTCATAGAGCGGCAGGACAGAGGATAGTACAGTGGAGAAGAGGGTGCCATTTACTCCCTATGCCCTGGCTTTGCATCTAGAAGCTTTGCCCTCTCCTCTCCAAGAGGCCTCAAGCTTCTCTCCTCCCACCTCCCCTGCCCTAGCCACCATCTGGCTCAGCCCTGACCTCAGCTTTTCCAGGAGCCTTCCCTGACCCTCCAGCTGGACTGCTCCCTTTGTGCCTAAGGCACACTCCTGCCACCAGGCTTGCCACATTACTCTGGAATGTGTATTTGTGTGTCATGTTCCCCAATGCTCCTGTAAGGATTTTCAGAGCAGGAACCATGTTTGTTTGTCTTTGTCTCCCAGCACTTGGAGCACAGTTCCTAGCATAGAATAGTAATAACAATAGCTAATCTTTTTTTTTTCTTTTTGGCATTTATGAAGTACAACACACCATGTTAACTCCCTTGCATGGCTTAACTCAATCCTCACAGTAGCCATTTATTATTATCCCTGTGTCACAGGGGGTTAGCAGGACTCCAAGTCTGAAAGAATTTGCCCAGAGTTACACAGCTGCTAAGGGGTGGAGTAAGCCAGGTGACAGGCAGTCAGTGCTGTTGACTCCCAGCATTATATTGAACTCAGTATGTGTCTGAGCCTTATTTCTCTCTCTTTTTATCAGAGCGTCATGACGCCTTATATGTGGTAGGAGCTCTGGATGAAACGCTGGAGCTGAGAGGATTACGATACCACCCAATCGATATTGAGACCTCAGTGTCTCGGATCCACAGAAGCATTGCTGAATGGTAAATTCCCCAGCACAGACTGGGTTTCTCCCCTCAGCTTTAGTAGTAATTTAAATCGATCTAATCAGTAGGCATCCATACCAAATACCCTCCTACAGACGTAGAACTCCATGAGGAGGAAGGAGGTAGGCTGTTTCTTGTCTTGGGTGTACAGTCTGCTGTGGCCAACAAGACCTATTCATAGGAGCTGGGTGGGGCCACGGGGACACTGTGGAATGCTGTGGTTCTTTCTGTGGAACACTGTGGAACAGAGTTCTTTTTTAATGATAGACTCTCATAATTGGAAGAGACTTAGTATCAGCCTCCAGGAAGTCGGTATAGTATGGTGGAAAGAAATATGACTATAAGGTCAAAAGACCCAGCTTAAAGGTTCAGCTTGGCTTGGTGTCTGTAGCTCAAGCGGCTAAGGCACCAGCTACAAACACCAGAGTTGGCGGGTTCAAACCCAGCCTGGGCCTGCCAAACAACAATGACAACCAAAAAACAGCCAGGCATTGTGGCACACGCCTATAGTCCCAGCTACTTGGGAGGCTGAGGCAGGAAAATCACTTAAACCCAGGGGTTGGAGGTTGCCGTGGCATCACAGCGCTCTACCCAGGGTGATAGCTTGAGGCTCTGTCTCAAAAATAAATAGATAAGGCTTGGCGCACCTGTAGCACAAGAGGCTGAGGCACCAGCCACATACACCTGGGGTGGCGGGTTCAAATCCAGCCCGGGCCCACCAACAACAATGACGGCTGCAACCAAAAAATAGCCGGGCATTGTGGCGGGCGCCTGTGGTCCCAGCTACTTGGGAGGCGGAGGCAGGAGACTTGCTTGAGCCCAGGAGTTGGAGGTTGCCGTGAGCTGTAATGCCACGGCACTCTACCCAGGGGGACAGCTTGAGGCTCTGTCTCAAAAAAATAAATAAATAAATAAATAGATAGATAAATAAAAGGCTCAGCTCTCCCACTCTGCATTCCTTATCTGTAAATACTTTGTCCACTACTTCCTAATTTATCAGAAGGATCAAGTGAGAATGTACTTTGTAAACTATTAAATAGTGAGCAGGTGAAAGGATCATTATTATTCTCTCAGCCACTTTCCCTCTCTTTGCAGGAATTCCCTCTATATTATCCCTCATAAAGGACCATCCAACCTAATGACTTAAAATTCCATAAAATTAAAACTCTATAGTTTTTAATAAACTGGACTTCATTCTGGGTTCTTGACTACACAGAATCGATCCAGTTTCCTTTCTGCATAGTTAAGCCAGTGTGTTTTTCCTTTTTCTCTTCTCATGTAAATAGCTACAGTTGTTTTAATGCAGTGGTCCTCAACTTTCCTAATGCCGCGGCCCTTTAATACAGTTCCTGTGGGTCGCAATCCACAGGCCGAGAACTGCAGTTTTAATGATTGTTTGTGTTTTCCAAATACTCCTTTCTCTAAAGATGTTCTTTTGGGGCCAGGTGCAGTGGCTCACGCCTGTAATCCCAGCACTCTGGGAGGCTGAGGTGGCAGGGGGATCTCCTAAGCTCATGAGTTCAAGACCAGGCTGAGCTAGAGTGAGACCCTGCCTCTAAAAATAACTGGGTGTTATGGCAGGTGCCTGTAATCCCAGTTACTTGGGAGACTGAGGCAAGAGAATCACTTGAGCCCAGAAGTCAGAGGTTGCTGTGAGCTATGATGCCACAGCACTCTACCAGGGGCAACAAAGTGAAACTCTGTCTCAAAAAAATAAAGAATTTCTGGGTGGTGCCTGTGGCTCAGTGAGTAGGGCACCTGCCCCATATACCAAGGGTGGCGGGTTCAAACTTGGCCCCAGCCAAACTGCAACAAAAAATAGCCGGGCGTTGTTGCAGGCCTCTGTAATCCCACCTAATCAGGAGGCTGAGGCAAGAGAATTGCCTAAGCCCAAGAGCTGGAGGTTGCTGTGAGCTATGATGCCACAGAACTCTACCGAGAGGGACAAAATAAGGCTCTGTCTCAAAAAATAAATAAATAAAAACATTCTTTCCAGCATGCTTGTCTCTCTGTAAAAATAAATAAATAAAAAGGCGGCGCCTATGGCTCAAAGGAGTGGGGCGCTGGCCCCATATGCCAGAGGTGGCAGATTCATACCTAGCCCTGGCCAAAAACTGAAAAAATAATAGCCAGACATAGTGGGTCACACCTGTAATCCTAACACTCTTGGAGGCCGAGGCAGGTAGATCATTTGAGCTCAGGAATTCAAGACTAGCCTGAGCAAGAGTGAGACCCCATCTCTACTAAAAATAGAAAAACTAGACAGGCATTGTGGTGGGCACCTGTAGTCTCAGTTACTCGGGAGGCTGAGGCAAGGGGATCACTTGAACCCAGGAGTTTGAGGTTGCTGTGAACTATGATGGCATGGTACTCTAGCCTGGGGCAACAGAGTGAGACTCTGTCTGTAAGTCAATCATCAATCAATCAATCAATAAGTAAGTTCTTGTTCTTTTTTTTTTTTTTGAGACAGTCTCACTATGTCACCCTGGGTAGAGTGCCATAGCCTTACAGCTCACAGCAATCTCGAACTCTTGGGCTCAAGTGATTGTCTTGTCTCAGCCTCCCAAGTATCTGGGACTATAGGTGCCTGCTACAATGTCTGGCTATTTTTTTTTGTTGCAGTTGTCATTGTTGTTTAGCTGGCCTGGGCTGGTTTCGAACCTACCAGCCTTGGTGTATGTGGCTGGCGCCCCAGCTACTTTAGCTACAGGCACTGAGCCAGTAAGTTCTTGTTTTTATCAGTGTTTTCCCCTAGACCTGAACAAGACTCTGATCAAGAGAAGAACATCTTTAGACAAAGAACTAGCTGGGAAGCATATAGAGGAGCTAAGGACCATGGTTATCTTATAATTTTGGACATTTGACTTTTAATAGAACCAGATAATGTGTACATTTTTTTCTTTAATAATTGGAATATGTGGCTCAGCGCCTATAGCTCAACCGGCTAAGGCGCCAGCCACGTACACCTAGGGTGGCGGGTTCGAGTCCCCAGCCCGGACCCGCCAAACAACAATGACGGCTGCAACCAAAAAATAGCCGGGGGTTGTGGCGGGCGCCTGTGGTCCCAGCTACTTGGGAGGCGGAGGCAGGAGACTCGCTTGAGCCCAGGAGTTGGAGGTTGCTGTGAGCTGTAATGCCACGGCACTCTACCCAGGGGGACAGCTTGAGCCGCCGCAAAAAAAAAAAAAAAAAAATTGGAATATGTTCTTAAAGCAGTATAGCAATACATATTACAAGTCAGGCTGTGCTTTCTACCTAGTGCCCCACTCAGTGGAAAGGGACTGTCTACCTTGTGGCACTTGAGCATGATAAGAGATCCCATGTGGGGCACTAGTAGCTCATATGAAAGTCAGACAGACCCTCTTCCCATTGGGCTCAGGAATGGTACGCTGGTCTGAAGGTAGTGAATTATCTTAGTCAGTTATTCACAGTTGCTTACAGAGCAAATTCCTCATTCTGCTCTTTCCCCTGTTCTCACTACTACATTTGACTGGTCTATTAAATAGAAAATATTATCTTAAAGCTCTATGTTGAAAATAACAGCAGCTCTCTTCAGCAGAGCTTGAGTGAAAGAGAAAATTAATGGAAAATTAACTATCTCAGAGTTTCCAAAAAGGCTACCTCTGGGCCTCAGGAAGGTAGGAACACAATGCATCCTTGTCCTCTCTTGCTTTGTACAGACATATGGATGGTCCCTTCATTCTTTTTTCTCCCTGATAAAGCCATTCTCTTTGCTTCTCTGCACCCCTGGCTACCCCAGAGCATTCAAATCCACATGCCTTCAGTTCAGGTGACCTGCTGTCAACTTCCAATTTCCCACAGGATTTTGGATGGCTCAGCTAACCATTTGTGACCACAGGGGCAAGGTCTCATATATTATACACATGAAGCTGAAATACTGGTTGGGATCTGGGAGAGAAGGCAGTTCTTAGGGAAATGGGCATAACTCTGGACAGATACTATAGTAAAGGGGACAACGTGTTAACTGAATGTCATTGAAATTTCAGTGCCGTGTTCACGTGGACCAACTTGCTTGTGGTGGTTGTGGAACTGTGCGGCTCTGAACAGGAAGCCCTGGATCTGGTCCCCTTAGTGACCAACGTGGTCCTGGAAGAGCATTACCTCATCGTTGGTGTTGTGGTTGTGGTGGACCCAGGTGTCATCCCTATCAACTCCAGAGGAGAGAAACAGAGGATGCACCTCCGTGACAGCTTCCTAGCTGACCAGTTAGACCCCATCTATGTGGCCTATAACATGTAGCCAGCCTTGGGACTGCAGGGGGACCATCCTCACGAGTCACAAAGACTGAAGACCCCTGGCTAGGGGCAAGCTTTTAAATGATGTGAAATAAGCTGAGATGGCTACATTATATTCTTCATCTCATCCTGTGGGATTCTACAGTCACATAATACACAGGAAAGTGGAATTCTGTGGTGGCAAATGAAAAAAATGTTAACAGGCAGGTAGACATAGCTTTGACAGAGCGTGAGTAGCACGTTCTGAAAGCAATTACGCGCATGTTTCATTTTTTTCATCTATTGTACATACTTGTATTTTTATCTAATGCTGTTTTAGAATTTTGTAAGGGAGTCTAATGAATTCACATGAAGGGGGTAGTCTGAGTTACACAGTTCCCCACTCTGTACTGTATTTGGCAATTTTGCTGTAGCTAGATGTTTGCAGGTTTTGTTAACATGGAACTACTCAGCTTACTTGCAGTCAACCCATAGGCAAAACAGATAACTCACTGAATATGAGAATTACTTCATATATATAAAATTCTTAACTGTAAAGCATTTTGACCAGTGTTTTAAACATGTAAATAAGAATACATATAATTCAGCTAAAGAATTGAAGAATTGGCTTGTATGAGAACCACCAAAATAGAAACATTTCTACATTGAGAGAATTTCGGTATTCTCTTAATGTAGTATAATTGATTAGGTTACAAAAAAAAAAAAGTAGAAATTGTTGGCAGATTTTGCTGCACAATGTTCCATGTCTTTGTTGGCTGGTATATTTTATGAACTAAAGCTGCCTACATTTGTTTTTAAAGCTTGCATTCCCAGAATCAGCTTAAGCTTCTTATGAATTCAACCTATTTGTATAAGCTGAGAATCTCAGTTTAAAGATCAAAATGTCAAGAAAAAGCTAAGATTTATCAGATCCCATCCTGATATTCTAAGGAACCACAATAACTCACTCTGGCCCCAGTGTTGAAACTGTCTTTCAAATTTAGAGTGACTACATAAGAATTTTAAAGTTCTTCTTTTTCAGAGCCCATTGTAAACTGCATCTACAGTTTACACATATAATTTCTCTTTTCTGCAAACTGAAGAGTGTCCTCTTCTTTCAGTTCATGAGGGCAGGGAGTTTAAAAACAAAAATTATAGGCCAGTAAGGCACTGGGATCAATGTGAAACTATAAGGCCACATAACTACACAAATCTGACCAATTTGGGTTGCCAAAATAGCCAGGCTTATGCTGAAATAGGGGAAGTCTGATGTATGCAAGAAATTCTTTTGAAATAACTGTGGTGCCCAGGCCAGGCATACTAAATATGGGGCTGAGTTTGGCTTCTGGCTCGGTCTCATTTCTTTGGTCTGATCTTCATGTATTTGAATATAGTTGAATCTTATTATTTTTTTCTTACAGAAATATTTTTAAAAATTAAAAGTACTCAAAAGTGAAAAGAGTTAACTTGTTAAATCAGAATGGTTCTCTTTGATCCACTCTGGTCTATTGTGTAAATATTTATTTAGACTATTTTAATAATACATATTATTTACCCCACTGTAACATCATGTAAACTAAATATGTTTTTAAACAATTTTTAAGACTTGTAATTACCCTGAAAATAAGGTTTATTATACAAAAACCAGACCCTTCACTATGGCAGCACTCTTGGGCTGCCTTTATTCAGTCTTGTGACTCAAAGCCACTTTATAACTCCCTTTTACATAATTCTCTTTTCCTCCCAACTCATTCTCCATAGAGGGCAGACCTCAAGACATTTTCCAGTTCCAGATCTCTTTTCCAACATTTTGGATGGAATTATTTTACACATTATGGGGAAGGTACAGGAAAGAAACACTTATATTGCGGTCAAATAAGAAATCCCAGTGTCTAGCAATAGTTTGGTTGGCAGAGGAAACAGCCTAATATTTGGAAAGTAATTTTCTTAAAATTATTTTTAATTCATTAAGCAAAGCAAGAGATCCTGAGTATTATATAAGTCTATTTCCATAATCCCCATGTCCTAAGAGAAAAATTATAGGTACTTTCTATCCTGTTGCTAGGTTGCTTTGATAATTCTTATTGTCACAATTTAGAGTATAAGCATCCCAGTATCTCAAAAATACTATCATTTCAACATGGAATCAATGTAAACATTACTAACAAGATATTTTACATTCTTTATTTTAAACCTTTGAAATCTAGTGTGTACTAAACACATCTCAATTCAAACTAGCCAAATGTTTAAGTCTTCAGTAGCCAGCTATGGCTGGTGGCTACCATATTGGACAGTATAGATCTATACTCATTCCCTCAAATGTTACTCCTTTAACTTGAGTATGGCCAACTCCTGGTTACTTAGGGACTCATTGTCCAGTTTTGTAGTTCCTCAGGCCTCTGATTTATCTTTATTTTTTGCTTTCTGCTATGTGGCTGCATTAGTGATCTTTATTATATCCCCCAAAGCTAGAATATGCTAGTGGAAGGCTGAGAATTGTCCTTGGGGAACTTTATCAGTAACTCTGGTAAAGTATCCTCTGGAGGGAGAGGAGAGTCATTAGGTTAGATGGTGTTGGTGGGGACATCTGCAGATTTAAGGCCTACTGTATCCCAGACTTGAGTATAAAAAATTTCTCTTCATGACACAATGCTCTTGCTCATTAAATGGAACCTTTGTGATAGAACTGATTTTTAAGATAATTCTGAAAGGCCATTATTGATTTTAAAAAAACACAGCCTTTCTAATCCTCTGGAACACATTCTGTCTAGGTTTTTGTCTGTGGAAAAAAAACGAAACAGCAAGCCCCCGTCTCCATTAAGAAAAATCTGTTGGTCTGAAGGTTTCTGAACTTCTTTCTGGTTCTCAGCAAAAGTTAACTCAAGTAGACTGCCCCAGGAAAATTCCAGGCCATAAGAATTCTTAGAGCTGTGCAAATGCCATCTTCTACATCAGTGAGACCTTAGGAATGACCAGTATGCTAACCAGAGTCAGGAATCTGCTGTCTTCACTCCTGCCTCCTAAAGGGCCTGTTCTCTCCAGCACGAGGTCCTTTCCTCCTGAAGTCGTGTTGCCTCAGGCTGTTTAGGGACCAGTACCTGTCTTGGTCTTATGAGTGTGTCTCCTTACTTTAGTCCCTGGGCAGTGCTTGCTTATTGCTTTTGTTGGCTCAACCAAGGGCCCGAGGCCTTTTTGTTAAGGTCTCTGCCCCAGGTATGGTGCTCAATATCTTGGCCAAATAAATTCCTTTTCTTGAATATCCAGGAATCTTTTAGAGTAAAGCAATGAGGAGTTATCACCTCATCCTCAAACTCCAATAAGATCTATGCCTTAGTGTCGTTTTGTTGTCTGCTTTGATGTAAAAGCAAGAGTATTTGGAGCAAGAAGCTGCAGTACTCCAAATACACAATAGGCCTTTATCATTCATACAACATTTCTGGTGTAGGTATATGTAGATGGGCCATGTTGTTTGTCCAGAGGAGGAGATTGTAAAGATAGAAGAATAATTTTTTAGTCCTCTATGCTGTTTTGTTTACTTTTTGTCAGGATATTTACCCATGTCAAATTCAAACTACAGTACTGTGTAATTATGTACAAAGGTTTTTTTTATTTATTTGAAGTTAGAGTAGATATACATTTTTAAATTTAACATCTGGCTGGACAGTGTTCTATTAACTCATTGAATGTGTTTCTTTTGTCTTGTGTTAATAAATATTGATGCCTGATGGTGTTAATCCTTCACATACTGGGTGGGGGAATTGATAGATTTAAATTTAACTACAATGGGCAGCTCCTGTGGTTCAGTGAGTAGGGCACCAGCCCCATATACCAAAGGTAGCAGGCTCGAACCCGGTCTTGGCCAAACTGCAACCAAAAAAAAAATAGGCACGCGCCTTACTTTGGAGGCTAAAGCAAGAGAATCACCTAAGCCCAAGAGCTGGAGGTTGCTGGGAGCTGTGATACCACAGCATTCTACTAGGGGCAACAAAGTGAGACTCCATCTCTAAAAAAAAAATTTAACTTCAATGGTAAGACCCACTGATGGCTGGATGGTCTAAGGAAGGTGAACAGTGTCAGTGCTACTAAAGGATACCAGATCAAGGAATAATAGTGTCATTTTGAAAACTCAGGAGTCTGTTGTCAGGGCTTTTTAAGGTAATAATTATAGTTTAGTCTTCCTCCTACCCATGTGGCATTTGGTTAGTATTAAACTATTCATCATGATTTTTTCTAATCTGTAACTAGGTCAGATTTTAGCTTTTCCTAAAATGGTACTGGTTTCAGGGAATTATGCATGTTCTCAAGCACCTGAAGCTTATCCTGGATGGTCCAAGCTATTTTGGCAACTGAGTACATTTTTTGCATTTAACCGATTTGTATCAGGTGCCTGCCCCCTAAGCACAAGGCACTATGGTTAGAGCTGAAACTAGAGAGAAAGAAATACTAAGTCACTACCTCAAGGAGATATAGGATAACAGTCACAGTACAGTACAATAGAATGAGGGGTGTGGAGCAGGGGGATGCTGTGAGAACAAGTAGGGTAGGCTGCCAATACAGTGGGGAAGAGGAATGGTGTGCTGGAGGAGCTAACATCTGACCTGAGATTTGAAGGGTAAGACAGCAGGAAGGCAGAGTTACATATTCTGGGAATTGCAATTTGTTATTGGAATTGCTGTGGTTTGAATGTATATGTCTATACAAAATTCATGTGTTGAAACCTAAGACCCAATGTGAGGTGAGGCCTATGGGGAAGTGATTACGTCATGGGAGCTCTGCCTTTGTGAATGTATTAGTGCCCTTAAAAAAGAGCTAGAGCAGTCGCTCTCAACCTTCCTAATGCTGTGGCCCTTTAATACAGTTCCTGTGGGTCGCACCCATAGGTTGAGTACCGCTGAGCTAGAGGAAACTAGTCCTTTTGTCTTTCTTGTCCCTCCCTCATGTTTGTCTTTGCCAGAGGAAGCAGCATTCAAGGTGCCATCTGGGAAGGAGAGACTCAACAAGACACTGAAACTGTCCGTGACTTGATCTTGGACTTTCCAGCTTCTGTAATTATGAGCAATAAATTTATGCTGCTATTTATAACTTACTCAGGCTTAGGTATTTTGTTACAGAAGCACAAAAGGACTAAGACACGGATATAAGGCTTGAAGGGAGAAAAGTAAAAGATAATAATGGAGGTTTCAGCCAGGGACAGATCACTAATGTCTTGTTTATTATGCTAACAAGTTTGGACTTTTATCCAGGAGGCAAAGGAGAATCAACGCAGGATGTAAAGCAGGGGACTAACAAGTCCAGATCCGCAACACAGATTATTCTGCTAGTCATATAGAAAATGGATTGGAATGGTTGGGAAAAGGGAGACAAAACTAGGGGTGAGAAGACCAGTTGAGAGGCTTTTGCAGTAGCTGTAGTGACGAACACTATGATTGTACCCTCTAAATTCAGGTGTTGAGACTTAATGGTCAATGTGATGGCTTTAAGAAGTAGGGTCTTGGCCGGCACGGTGGCTCACACCTATAATCCTAGAGCTCTAGGAGGCCAAGGCAGGTGGATTGCTTGAGCTCATGAGTTTGAGACCAGCCTGAGCAAGACCCTGTCTCTAAAAATAGCTGGATGTTATGGAGGGCACCTATAGTCCCAGCTACTTGGGAGGCTGAGGCAAAGGGATCACTTGAGCCCAAGAGTTTGAGGTTGCTGTGAGCTATGACGCCACAGCACTCTACTGAGGGTGACAAAGTGAGACTGTCTCAAAAAAATCTGGGGCCTTTAAAGGGTGATTAAGATTAGATCATGAAGGCTCCTCTGAAGAATGAGATTAAAGCCCTTACAAAAGAGGCTTCCTGCAGCAGCACTTGGTGGCTTGCCCCACTACCTCCCATTTCAGTGTTCCTTCCTCTGGGTGATGCAGCAACACAGCACCACCTTGGAAACAGCAGCCCTCACCAGACAACTGAACTGCCAGCACCTTGATCTTGAACTTCCCAGCATCCAGAACTGTGAGAAATTTCTATTCTCGTTAAACTACCTAGGCTCTGGTATTTTGGAACAGCAGCACAAAACAGACTAAGACATAGAGCAAGGCCCTTCAAGGCAGTCAGAATGGAAAAGAGGGGCTGGGCATTGTTGCTTACACCTGTAATCCTAACACTGTTGGAAGATCACTTGAGCTCAGGAGTTCAAGACCAGCCTGAGCAACAGCAAGACCTAGTCTCTACCAAAAATAGAAAAGATTAGCGGCTCGGCGCCTGTGGCTCAAGTGGCTAAGGCGCC